GGAGCTGGGCTGCCGTGAGTTGCCGGCGATGGCGTGGGCTGCAGCCCCTGTGGCAGTGGGTTGCCATGGGCTACCTTGTGTAGCCAGCAGCCAGCGTGAGCGGCCAGCAGCCACAGTGAGCGGCCATCCAGAAGCCGGTGACTGATCTGCCTCGCCCGGGAAGAGCGCAATGATGGTGCCAACTTGGGCCAGTGAAGCAGCGTCTTCCACAGCTAGACTGAAGAACAAAAGGACAGCAACTTGTCTGTTCCCCTTCCCCAATTCCCCAACACTGTTCCCATCCCCCAATTCCCCAATAAAAATCTTAAAAAAAAAGAATACAAGACAGAATAAAACAAAATGCTACAGAGAGTCAAGGAAATGGCTTTATTTCCCCTGCAGGGTCCAATAGATTTTCCAGAAGGCAATGGACTTGTTGATGTAGCTCCTTTACCTTAGTCACAAGCAGCTCCAATCTGACCCCATCAAAGGAGCTAGGAGTGTGTGGAATGGTGGGTTTCTTAACTACTGGCTTCAGCTTAAAAAGAAATCATCTTCCAATGGGTTCCAGGGACTCTCTTGCAGACACCCCACTCTGCAGTAGTAGTCCCCCAAGTCAGACACATCTCACCCTGCCTATAATTGCCTGGTTGGTTGTCCATTGGATCATGCCTGACAGGCAGGGACATTTCTAACTTGGTTGTCTGGCCCCAGCACCTAGCATAGTGCCAGTAGAGCCAACATTTCCCACAAATATTGGGAGAATGGGAGAATTAGCAATGGGTTTTGCATATCAGATCTGCTCAGGTTCCAGGACAGAAGCTATATTGGATTGCTTAGTCATGGTTCTTGGTTGTAACTCTTGAGAGTGAATTGTGGATTGCCTGCTATTTAGATTAGTAAACAACATACCCAGAGTTGGCCCCCAAACCATTCATGAGCACAGAGGCCTCAAAAAGCTCTGAGGTGCTGCGTGATGCAGCAAAGTCATAAAATCATTACAAGTGGTGACTATGTGTTCCATGTAATCTTTGGATCCATGTAATCTTTAGACGGACTCTCATGACATTGACTATGGATTTCAGAATTGCAGACAGGGCACATCAGTGAGCCAAAGCATTGCTCTCTTTTTCTGCTCACGCAGAATCTTGGTCCTGGAGAATGCTTAGGGGCTGGGGGTGCATATGCGTGTGGGCACACACATGTGTGCACTCATATACAAGCACATACAAGACTGCAGGTCTGTGGAGGAAGGCTGGTGGTATGAGGAAAAGGGACTCTAAGTATCAGAACAAGAGCAGCCCTGTGAATATGTCCCACAGGATACCAAAGCTTTAAAGTTAGCTGTTTCTCCATGACCCTCCTAACACGTTCTCAAACATGGGTGGCCGTGTTGTCCACGGTCAGAATATTGGGATCTGTGCATTCCTCCTGGGATTATATAGAACAGCAATGGGTCCCAAAAGGAAAGAGTGAGATATCCAGTTCTGTCTGCCCTCCAATTTGCCCTTTCTGCAGGAGGGGCATTTCTGTTAGGCAACTGCCATATTTGTTCCCTGAGCCTTCACCTGATCTTTTGGAATACCAGCTGGTGCTGGGTATCGCTGTGTGGGCACATTCAGTCCCAAAGTCCTGCCTTCTGCATTTTCTCCATTTATTTTGTTTGGGGAATGACTCTGGGATCACAGCTTTACTTCTGATTCCTGGTTGGTTGCACATTTCAGTCTCAGCCTTACATACTATATGCTTGGGCACTGCTAGAAGCTGGTGTGGGAGCAGTTGTGGTCTCTAGACTCTGCCACCCATACAGCCTGGGCCTCAGCTGTGCCACACAGTAAATGCAGGACTCTAGCAAATCACTTTGTGTCTGAGTCTCAGTGCCTTCGTTTGTAAAATGGGAATAACAGTATCTGCCTTTATGGGATAATTCCGAGGGATTACATAAGAAGTGTTGGAAAGTGCTTAGCACTATAGTTGGCACATAGTACATGCTCAATAAATCCATATTCTTCCTACTGTTTTTGTTCACCTCTCCCCTTTTCTTCAACAAAATTTCCCTAAGTGTCTTCTTTCTCCTGGACCTTGGGCCTGTGTGATGAGTACAATCTAACTTTTGTTTGGTTATCTGTTTTAGTCCCTTATATACAGCGTTCCTCTCACTGCCTCAGGATGAATACAGCTCTGTCCTTGGAAAGGCCTTTTGTGTGCACGTACTCAAATGGGTTCCCCTTTCCCACCATTCTCAAGCAGCATTTATTTCCTTCTTAGCCTGTTTCACCACCTCTAATGTGTCTGTTTATGTGTTTAAATTGCCAGTCTGCCTCTCCTGATGGAGCACGAGTGCTGGGCAGGTGGGAGACTCACCCGTGGTGGTCTCTGCTGGAGCCTGCAGGCCTAGTGCCGTGCCAGACTCAGCAAATATTTGTTGGCTGTGTGAATCAAAGATGATTGAACCGCAGAGAAGGACAATCCTACAGGTTTCCATGAGCCAGAGGTGGGCTTGCAATATCATGCTCTTTTCTTTCTAAAAGGCACATTCCCCTGTGTCTTTCATTTCTGGAAAGGAAGTCTAATTTGTTACCACATAGCCTTTTCGCTCTCAGGTAACACCCTCTTAGTCTACGGAAATACTATGGAATAGTCAAAGGTGTTAGAGAAGCTTTGCCTTTTCCGTCCACTCAGGCATGTGATTTGAGGGGTCACTGAAGTATCCCAGTCAGTTAAAACCATTGCCGCCTATTAAGAAAACGAGTAAAGTGCTGCCCTTTTTATTGCTTAAAGTAAACTTCCTGCTACCTTTGACTGACAGCTATAGTCACAGGACATCATCAAACATTAACTTGGTGTATAGATTGGTTGTTGTGACATGTAAGTGGGAGAGGACAAATGCC